GAAGAAATCGGTTAACGGCATAGAAGATACGTCCAGACACAAAAAACAAAAATAAATACAAATAAAACCACATCATTGTAAAAACAATACCTTCTCAACTACGCATCGAAGCTAAAATAAAATTTTTTTTTTGGTAAAATATGCCGTTCTTCAAAATATAATACATAAGGACTCGTTTAATTCATAATTAGACATAATAATATGTAACTCGCGGAGCATGATCTAACCTCTCTCTGGACAGTTTTTTGTATTCAGCGAATTTAAATTCCCTTAGCCTTTATCCTGCGAGATAAGGGTTTTCTATACTTAGGTTAATACTTCCTAATAGACTTATTATTCATTATTATATGAAATATAAATTATATAAAATATGAATTGTGTGAGTATAAGACGACCTGACGATGGACAACATCAACAACGCTAGTCGAATACTCGAATGACTAAAATCTAAAACGATCATTTTTACAATTAAGTATAAATTGCAATGCCCTGCCAATGATCCTCGTTTTAATAGTATTTTGTTATACACCGTACATGACAAAATATCTAAAAATAATATCCTTATCTGCAATTTGCGGGTACTATGCGACGACGACGATAGCGGTCGATAAGGAATGTCACGCACTCGCAGGCACAATTCAATAAACTGTTTGAAACCACAAAATTTGAAATTGAAATTTCACTTTAATACATCATTCTACTTCAAACGTACTGTCCTTAAAAATACTTCGATTTAAATTTTTAAAAAGCATTTGAATTCTTCACAAAATTTTCAAGGCATCGGTAGTGGCACAATTTTAAAATTAATTTCAGTAATTAATTATTTCAATGTAAAAAAATGCAATTTTTAACTTTTTTAAACTGAAATAATTAATTAACTAAAAATAATTTTAAAATTGTGCCACGACCGATGCCTTGAAAATGTTTTGAAGAATTCAAATATTTTTTCAAAACTTAAATCGGAGTATTCTTAGGAACAGTACGTTTGAATTAGAATGAGTTGTTTTCGACTAAAAATACGCAGGTGTAGAGGCCCCTTAAAGTTAAAAGTTAAAAAACCGGCCAATTTTTTTCAGTTTTGTGAGTGAAGCAGTTGATTTTTTCGACTTTTGACCCACTAAAGTATCAATCGCATACGAATTTAGATCTCTAAACTGCTATGCCGAGTAAATCGGTCTAGAGGCAAAAGTTATTGTGTTTACAGACATAAAAAGAAACATATATCATTCAAAATCTAGACCTCAGCAGCTCAGCTCCTCATCATAGCTAACAGCTTTAGAGGTAAAGAGCGTAACAAGTATCATCGCTAACTCGTTTTAAACAAATGGTAATTTATTACGTATAAAATGGTGAATTACATCCATTTGTTAAACATTATTTTATTTATAGAGGATTTTTATAGAGTTTCCAATTTACAAAATATTATGCTCTTCTTGAAATAAAAAAAAAAAGTTTTTATACTATTTCCTGTATTATTTATAAAACAATTTGTTTTCTGAGGAATATATTGTATTGTATATATAAAATGGTTGAAAAGTAAAAAAGCCACACGCGGTCGGTCGTTGCAGATTCTGTGTGCGACTTTATCTCTATTGTTAATTGGCTATTAGAAATAATAATAATGAACGGCCTAGTTGTTGTTACACGAGTATATAGCCAAGTTTAATACATAGATTAGATAAGCTAAACGAAAACGTCTTTTAGTAGCCGACGTCAGACGTTTTTCCTGAAACAGTGAAAGCTGCTGATAGCGATATCGAAAATAAAACGGTGACCGATTACATGGACTTTAAATGTAAGCATACGATTATATATACAGTATGTGACACGTGTTAAAGTCATTTTACGAGGACGTTCCAGATACAAGCTATCTCCAGCGACTTTGTAGTTTAACGTGTTGCCGAAAACTTTTATTTACGGTAATATCTATCTTATTTGCGTGTATGGCATAGCCGAGAGATAAGAGTAAAGGGTCCCGTGGCCATGCGTACGTGTTTCCTCACAACTTTAGCCCCTCTCGTTGGATTTCGACGGTCTCCAAGTGTTTTATTTTTGTCGTACGGAGCAAATCGTTTAAATATTGAATAAAAACCCCAAAACGTCGACGCAGGTAGCCTAAAACTTTTTCGCTTAGCCGGTTGACGGCCATTAGTATGTGAGTTTGAACACTCCGTTTACTCTGAGTCACTGAATAACTCAAACGTAACTAAAAACGGCAGCTGCTGTCATGCTCAATGTTTGTGTATTCGCATACACAAATAATACGTTTCAGGCTCTTCAAATAAAAACACCGACCCACTAAAAAGTTAGGTAAAATGTGTATACGACTCAAAGGCTGATGAAAATAAAAAGTTTTACTGAAAATCCCTTTTTATTTTACTTAAAAATAAAATACACACAATACTGTTCATACTTGTAACTTCAATACTTGATTAAGTCTACTCACTAAACAAATATTTGAATTTGTTTAAGTATATTTTAAACCGTATCATCGGTAAAAAATGTAATTTCAATTAAAAGAACTGACAACAAAAGTAATAGTTTCATAATAATATATATATGTATATATATTTTACATGAAAATATACATATTATATCATAAAAAGTCTTACAATACAGTTTAATTTCTTCTACTTAAACCGATTTTGTTTAAGTGATAGTTTATCAACGTTGATGGTTAACCAAGACCTTATCTTTAGAATTTGAATTTACCGATAATCGAATGGTCTGAAAAGTCATTAAGGTGCAGCTTAAACTTTTGATGGAACAGTGCAAAGTCTCGTTTGGCGGATCGTGTCCGATAATAATAATAATAATTATTACATTATGCATAAAAGTGAAACAAAATTTAGGATGCTTTACTGTTTAATGTTAGAAAAGCAAGTAGTAGGTACCTACGCTCCAAGGCTTCAACGTTGACCATTTGACCCGCAAGATTACCGCACATAATATTATATATACATGTACTATAACCCCGGTATGGTAGAGGAAATAAAGTAAGCAAACTTAGTTCGATCTAAAACTTCTCTAAGTACCCTGCACGCTTGCCATCGCTCGTGCCGTACCGTGAATATATTATTTTAGATACGTATTTTATGCAACGTGGGCATTTGATTTATAGAAGTAATATTTTACCAGAGTTCGAATAGAAGATGATCGTATGCATGTGGTAGTCTAAAATCGTTTAACAAATAAGAACGGCATTTTACTTTTTTCAACTTGACTGTTATTTTCAAGTATAGAAATGTAGTATCCTTTTTAAAACGAATTATGCTAGTTATCATTTGGTTTGTCTCCTATACACTCGAAAACCTTAACAACATACTATACTTTCACGATTAATGTTTCAATAGCGCCAAATGACATTGGTTAAAATATAAGTTTAAATTTTATTTTTGATGATTCGATATACAACCATCAACGATTAGAAATGGAAATTAATTAAATATACTAGCCAGTCTCATGCAAGATAGTGTAGAACAGTTACTTATAAAAATATTTGTTGTACTACTTATTGATTATGTTTGTCAACAATTGTATTTTAAACACATTTTAACATTGATACGATAGCTATGAAGGGATAGATTTTATAATGGTGTGTTTTTTTGTCTCTGAAGTCATGATAACTTTTTTTCTGTAGATCGATTTACTCGAGTAGCAACTATATCAACTGTAATCGTATACAGATATATCGATTGGTATTTTGGTGGATTAAAAGTAGAGAAAATTAACTCCTTTGTCTCCAAAACTGGGAAAACCTGAACCTAAACTTCAACTTTGACTTGCTATAGCTAAGTGAAAAACGGTCGGATCGAGTAGGATTATTGTTTATAGAATATATTTTATTCTGCATGCCTGGATGCCCCTATTTACAAACCACCTCAAATGTAAAAGTTTATTATAGACCATAGTCAATAATTTTATTTTTATTTATTTATACAGAGTGTTTCACAAAGATATGACAAATAAAAAACTATTGTTCTAGTAAATATTTTTAAAATTAACTTATACTCATTTGCGCTATAAACACCGCGTTTTTTATTGCACTTAAGTGTTTTACTTTTTTAAATTCAAGATAACCATTTTGCTGAGAGTAATTTGCTAAGAATTTTGTCTGAACGATACCCCGTATCGGATAATTAATTTTTAAGTTATTAAAAGTAAACCGTTAAGACGTGAGGTGGAGTGCGGTAGAGTTCATTTTATTTGCGCGCATTACTATACCGCACTATACCTCCCATCCTAAAGTTAACTACCAAATTCGCCGACCCCACACATATGCATACTAACCGAAAACCTTCGTGTTATGTTATAAATACAAATTGAAATATCATCCAATTTATTGATGACTTCTATACCAAAAAAAAATACTTAGAAATAAGTAAGACAGGTCATATTGAAATTTCGATTACATAAAGCTTTCAAGTCAGTTCAAAATAAACTCAGTTATAATAGGTTTATATGTATTTTGGCAACACATTAACTCAAAGTTAGTATCTCAATTATTTTAAAATAATTATTTATCATCAAAACATTTTAATACTCGGATACCAGGCGAATATTACCGCAGTAACCGGATAACAGAAACAGATAAAATTCTAATAAGATTCTATAGAATTCAGACACCTGCTAAATAATGGATACCCGCGTAATTTATTTACATGATAGCCGCCTAAAATAATATTGTCATCATTTAAGAAATGGAATACATTTTAAATAAGGGTTTTTATATTTTTAAGTTTTCTCAATAATACCAATACCATTGTTTTCGTATTTTACTATCAGTTATTCGTTTTCCTACATAATAAATATTTTTTCGGCTAAAGACGACGTAAAATATATTGTTGAGTACGAAAATCATAGAATAACATGTTATTTTGCTTAAAAAAAGTACGAGCCTGATTGTAAAGCAGTGCGATTCGAGCCAACTGTTTAATTTGTATGTGTATTCAGGTGTTTACGTTTTTTAAGTCAGCGCGCCAGCAGGAGAGCTCGATATTGTTTTTGCAAACCTATGTCAGACTTTGTACTCATTTCCTATCCAAACGTCTTCTATTGCATATAGTAACACAGATATAATTTTTTTGTTTAAAATATTTTAAATAATTAACTATGGGTAATTTTGTGTATTTTTTGGCGTTTGCACTGACGGGAACTGCGGTATTTGGTAGAGTTTTTCAAGAGAATAAAGATTTTGTAGAATTCAATATCGAGGCGAAGGAGACCCAAAGCAGCGAAGATTATGCAGTGGCCGTGGATCTAGGAAGCAATGGTATTAAGTCAGGAAATGATTTTGGCAATCGGATGGTGAGCAAGCAATATGTGAATGCAATCAAGAATTCGAAACTTTGGAACGAGGTAAAGACCAAGGCACTGTCGGCTAAAGGCCCCACCGAGCTGGCCGCGACGTTCGCCAAGTACGAGTCACTACCGGTTGACCAATGGCCGGACACGATTATTGACGAAGTTCAAAAAATATGCCAAGAAGGTCTTAAGTGCGTAGTTATGGACCAGTTGTACATGATGTCACAGTTCTTGAAGACAGAAACTAACGGAGATCAGTCTTTGCGTACGGTCATAACGAAAGTAACCAATGTGTTGTCGGAATACAAAAAGTGTACGAGAAATCTGTACTCCGGTACAGTACGGTCATCAACCCTGAGAACGCTGAAACGATATCCGAGTCTATAATGAAAGTAGTGAAAGATAACAACCAAATGTGCAAGTCGGACCAGGTGGAAGTCCAGTTAGCAGATCATCAGGTCGACACGTGGGTAGACAAAGTAACAACAATCGATAACGTTTTGGATACACTCCAGTCCATTATCAATAAGCCGAAAAATGAGTAATCCGTCCATGTTCTCCGTGATTTCAATTTTTACACATATAGCGTTAATTAATTTCTTGTATATCGTTGTATGTTATGATTTTCATACAGTACATTTTTTAGTCACGTCAATAAGTTTATTATATTTGTTTATGTTTGCACCATTTGTTGTATTGTTTTATTACATTATTATTATTTTTTTTTTTTTATTGAAAATCACGGTTTTTTTAGTATAGCGGAGTTATTATCCAATGTAATACAATATAATATATATTGTAAAAAAAATAAAAAATAATTATAACTATAAAAAACGATTGTTTTTTAATTTTTTTAAATATTCTCATATGTTTGGTTATATATTTGTTTTACGGTCAACTCAACACAATATGTGTTTAAGAATATAGCGTACATAATATTGGTACTTTCCAATTAAGCAAAACGTCGTATTAAACATAATAATATTAAGCACGATAAACAATTATTCTACAATAAAAATAGACCAGGTTTGATTGTTATAGTATTGAGTTAAAGCTTTTTTATACAAAGTATTATTAAAAAATATAGGTATTTGACACCATCGCTGTTATTTAAGAACAAAGGGTAATGTTATACATGTGCACAGATAAACAGGTAAATATTTTTAATGGTAAATTTATTGAATTTATTTGAATGGTATCTATTTATTTCACAACTACAGTTCCAATTAGTTTTTAGAAAAGTCAATTTTATAATATGTATTTGTTTAAGACAGATTTTTTTATAATACTTTTATGAAATTGAGATGTTTGACAAGAAAGAACTTTATTTTAGTTATGACAAAATGTTTAGTTTATTTCATCTTTTTATTTAGGTCGTCAAGGTATATTTTATTCACCCAAAGCTAATCATTCATATGTGTTCGAGGGTAGTCATATGAGACCATACACATGATTTTATATTCAAAAAAATATTCTAATATGTTCTCATGGGCATGCAAAATTGTTGAACGTATGAAAAGTTCACATTTTTATTATTCAAAACGATTTGACTCATGGGAAAAGAGAATATATTTTGATAGAAAAGCGTTGGTCAAACATCTGGTATATAAACTTATAAAGGGCACAGGTAAAAAGGTAAGTCACAAATGTTATTTCCACAAATAAACATCCTTAGGGAATATTTGACTTTTCTTTTTGAGGAGTAGAAAAAGTATACTTAGCTGTCTCAATGCAACTAATAGTGGTTACTGTCGTCAAAAAATATTTGAAAAAGAACAGCGTTTTAAAATATAAAATACAAATATTATTAATTTTTTTCTTTACTGCACATGACAGAAATATTATTTCTAATAATATTATTTTATTCATTACAGTACAAAGAATGTATATAAATCCATTAGATATCTCATCATTATAATTATCCAGTTGATAATTATAAAATAATCTATAATTATGATAACAAAACAAATATTTTTATATAAATATAATCTAATATTATATAATATTATATATTTCAAAATTATTTAAATAGAAAACATTTTTTCCTTGGCTTTAGCATCAGTGAAATTGTCAATTATTTTTTAATAATTAAGTTTAACAGTGTAGTTTTTTTAAAATTAAGAATAGCAATGTTTCCAAATTCTATCTTAGACAGGGAATTTCTTAAATAATTTTTAAGGAATTTCAGTTTGGAAACGACCTTTTTACCGAGAGCACTGTTACTGGAATTGTTAGGATTATTAAATATGCATATTTAACGCCAAAAATAAAACATAAGAAGATAGATCTGGATAAATAAATGTTTTAATTATTAATAAAAGTTATCTCATAAAATAAAAATGTATGCCACATTTGTATTTTAAAACATAATCATAAAGGGACTTGAATATGTCGTTTGTTTAATCACTCATATTTTATTTAAATAAATAAATAAATAAAATGTATGTATTAATTATTAATAAACATGTTTTTAATTATCCTCAGTCACATCGTATCGTTTTCTATATCTACTCATCAAATTATAATTTAGCATAACGTTGTCGTTCACTAACTTGCTGTGTAGTAATGTGCATTTATTTTACACAGTAAAATATACATTTTGTGATATCTAATACTGAGTCATATTTGCTGAGGTGAATTTCAAGCGTAATTCATAAAAAATACATTAAGAAATAGTGAGTTATAACACTAAGTTGTTCAATTTTTAGTAATATCTTGGGCAGATTCCATAATAATTTCAAACAAAGAACATTGCCTAATTTCGTCACAAATTACTTCTTGCAAACTTGATCATCAAATTGTAATCAGTTCATTTTGTATTTCTAGCCTGAAGTACAATATTAATTTGAATTTAACAACATTCGTAAACAGGGTCAATTCAGCAAATAAATTAAGTAGTTTGAGAAAATTCCTCTCAGAGTATTATTTTGTACTCATTCTCACGTAATGCTATTAAAATAAATTTTAGTATTCTTGTTAATATATTTCTACTATCACCCCCAGACGGTATTATAATTTTTCAATTTCAAATGTTTGTCTTCTATTGCTTTTCACTATAAAAAAAAGTTATAAGTAGGGGCCTCATACAAGAACTTGAAGCGATGAGTCTGATGCAAGGACCCGCCCTAACCGCGGTTTCCACGGCACTGAGTAATTCAACTATGATAAACGCTATTTATTGAAATTAATCATCTGCATGATTCATTTTACTAAAACAAAGTTTTTCTAACTTCAATTTTAGTTGTATCAAAGTATGTATTACGTAGTTTGATAAAACCAAATCTTTATTCCTAAAGAATTGACAATTAAATTTTATATATTTTAAGTTATAGTACTAAAAAAGAAATCATTCTATGTAATTACTCATTATTTTTAACCATAGCTATTTTGCTCAATGCTGATGTTCGTCATGAACGCTTATTTGCCTAGTTTTATTATAACGTTACATCGATAATTAATAATAATTTAATTATACAACAATAATAAATGGGTTTAAAGTGTTAATTTGAAATGATTAATGTACGTTTGTGTTTTTTCTTATAACTCAATTTTGTAAAGCCTTTTCGAATTTCACTGGTAAATTGATTATAATATTTTTTTCTAAAAAAATTTACTATAATTGTCATTTACAATTTTTTTTTAATTCTGTCATCGATGAAGTGACGATAATGAATTTCGACAAACGTACGTGTTCATCTCATTGTGTTCGTGTGCCTGTAGCATACACTGTGGGACCGAAGACGGGGTCACATAGGATCACACGATCCTACCCAATCTATAGTCAAGTGTTTATTCACCATTAGGGTAGCGTCCAACGTGATGTCGTTGCAATCCGCAATGATATACTGTAGTAGCTTTGTCACTTTCGACTAAGAGCACAGGTACTTATGAGTTATGCAGATTGATTTATGCAATTAACAGGGCATGACGTGTGAAGAGTCTTGACTCTACCAAGGTGTCAATGTAAGCCCAATGGGTCTATTGAATGGTTATTGGTTATACATACGTTGTCAATGTCACCCATGTTAACGAAATAGACGGTTGTGATAATATTAAAATGCTACCATTACCAGGATAATCATTTAAGAGTTAAAGAAATTGTATAAACGCGTAAACAGCTAAAAAGTTGAAATAATAAAAGTAAATAAATATTTCGTACGATATTGTATCTATCGTTTTATTTTTACTGTATTTAAATAAACCAATTACTTATTGCAACAACTATTTTTATCAAAATGTATTTTCACTACTATATTTTTAATTGGAATTATTATGAGGGCCAACTTGTAGGGTTTGTAGTTTATACCTCTATATATATAAATATGTATATATCGTACAGTCATCAAATACTATGTTTTTCGCTTCAGAGGTATAGCAAATGGCACTGAGAAGTATAGTTTTATAGCAAAACTTAAAAGAAAAAAAGAGCTTTTAGACTGTTGTAGGTTTTTTTTTAAATTTAGGCCTTAGGTAAACTATATATCTATTATAGGGATTTTTAAACATAAATTTACTGGTCAAAACTCAAGTCTAAACTATTGACGATATCTTTAAAGGAAACTTCGTAAGACTTTAATACCTTTTTAATGATACTATTTATGACTTTTATTAGGTTTATGTATGTTTCGTCTGTAAAAAAATAAAAAAAAACAAAGTTATGTCTTCGAGTAGATATAGCAAATTTAATATAACTTGTTTTCATTTTTTTTTTAAACCCTAACGTACCTCTTTGTTTTTGTAATAATATGTCTTTGAAAATATAATCCGAAAAAAAATACATCGAATATCGTCGTAAAATATTTAAAAAAAACAACTGCAGTTGTTGTTTTGTAACCATATACATGAACAGGTTTTTTTTTCACAACTAAATAAACATACGCTCATCATGAAAAATATATGTGCCTTTTTATTGCGGTTTTTTTGTATAAACTGTATAGCACTATAACTTAACAAGTATAATTACTAATATACTACTAACTCCGTAAATTATTATATCATTAAAGAAGTAGGAAAACCTAGATGATAAATGCAAAAACTCGTTTGCCTATTATACACATCATGTGTTAATATTAAAATAAACTATAAAAATGCATTTTACTTTACTAGAATGCGTTTTGATCTAAGGACAAGCACATAAATTAGTTATAATTTATTATAAATTTCAATAATATATTATAACCTAATAAAATAAATTGTATAATGAAAACCTTATTGAGAGGAAGCATAGCGAATACGTATAATGATGGCTTTTAAAATGTTGCCGAAATAATTATTCTACGTTTATTAAGTAAATTCTAACTGAGTTACCTATTCGGAAAACCATATTAACCATAATATTAGTCATATTTTATGACTCATATTATACTAGTGTAACGTTAAACTATATATCGTCTGGTGTATTTTATATAATATTTAAAAAAAATGTAATTTACTCTGTAAGAAGTTATGTAATATATACACAAATAACTACATTTGTTTGGCGTTATGATTGACCAATTAGTAATCGTGACGGAGAAATGGCTATCTTGACATTACAAAAGTATACTAATGTGTAAATAATAATAATATATGGAACTAGTTAAAAGCCTTAACATATACTCGTAGTGTTAACCTAAATGTTGTGGCTAAATACTTGTAATGATACTAGACGATATCTAATGATTTTTATGTATACAGTATAAGGACAGGTTTTTTAAAAAATGTAATATTTTGTATGGAGGAAAACCATTAATATGACAGCGACTACTGGCTAAGAATTAGGATGGTTTAAACGTGAACG